ATTCACCTTTGGCGCCTACCTCTCCGAACACCCCCGCCCCGCCCCCGGCTACTTTGGCAACGGCGAGTGCTTCCTCTGGCGCGCCTCGGCCCTCGCCGCCCTGCCGCCGCCGCCCTCCGCCGACGCCGCCCCCGCGCGCAGCACCACCATCGCGCCCGACCTCCTGACGGGCGAGGACGCACCAGCCCCGCCCGCCAGCCCGGCAGCGGCAGCAGCAGCACCACCACCACCGGCCCTCCGCTTCAAGGCGTTCCCCTACTCGGGCGAGAACGAGTACTGCATCAACTGCGAGACGGGCTTCCTCAGCATGGGCGCCGGCGACGGGCACTACGGCCTCTGGCTCGACGGCGGGCTCGCGCGCGGCCGCAGCGGGCGCAGCCTGACGTTTGGCAACGAGCCGCTCAGCGACGAGGGCGACAAGTTTGGCGTTTTGGGGGTGGAGCTGTGGGTGTTGGGGGCGTAGCCTGCTGAGCGGTGCTGCTGAGCGGTGCTGCTGAGCGGTGCTGGGGGCGTATGCTACGATGAGCGGGTGCGATGCTCGGCCAGGTTGGACGAACAGACTCAGACACCATCTACCAGGCAGAAACGATCAACGGAAAGATGTACGCCAGCCGCGGACGGACAGGACAAGGACAAAATAGCTAGAGGAGCGAATGATACCCATTGAACCGCCTGAGAGCCTGAAGTCACGAGCTGACGCCGCAAGACAAGGTCGCATGTGGACTTTTGATTCTTGCCCGGATATGCCCGGATATGCCCAGATGGTACATCTCCAGATATGCCCAGAGGGTACATCTCCAGGTTGTGCAGACTGCGATGCCCAGATATGCAGACTGTGATGCCCAGATATGCCGGATATGTCCAGATGGTACATATCCAGACTATGCAGACTGCGATGCATGTGGTGCCCTCTACCAGGCAACACCACATCTCGGCCACGTAATGCACATGAGCGCCATGCAGACAGACATGCAGACAGACATGCAGACAGCACAGGGAGACAGCCCAGGCAGCAGTCAGGACACCCCAGAGTTCCTGGAACAGTACCTATCAAACCGGGTGACAAAAAAAGCCGCGTGGGAAAAAGACAGGTACTTATATCAGTTCGGGTTCTCTACCTATATATATAGAAAGAAGTACTCTATTTCTACTACCTATCTACCTGCCCTCTATTTTATCGTCTCGTATCCTCCGTAGTATTATATCGAACCGGTGATGGATACGTTCTAGATATACGTACAGGTCGACCTAGGCCTCTATAGCTAGAATTACTGCTGGGGTATACATGGCGTAATGGATGGTGAAATTGCCAGCGGCTTTTTCTGTCAACCGCTTGCCTGTACGCACCAGACCTCCATGTCTGGGGATCGAACTGGAGAGGCCCATCGCATTGACGACGGGTGATGGACTCCCTCCTGGAGAAGCGGGCTTGACCTCACTGCGCACATGCTTCAACATGGTCTCAGTCATTGAATACCTTGGACCGCGTGGATCGCCAGATGGCCGGGAACCCAGATACTGCCCCGACCTCGGAAGTTTGCTGCGCAAGCACAAGGGCAAGGGGGGAATAGAAAAAGCTACGCTCCTCAAGAGGGGAGCTCACTTTGACCCGTTCTACTATGCTATATATCAGCTTCAAACGGATAGAGGTAAATTTGCCGCTAAAGGTGTCGCCGATATCTAGTATATGGAATCCCAGAGCATTTGATCGAGATACAATGTCTAGAGAGGGTTCCGTAATTAGGGGTCTTTCTGGATGATGCCTGTATTTGGCGGATTTGGAGTGCGGCTTAATCTGTTCCCCCCTTGCCGGGATGCAATGAGTACTCATGCAACACAGATCAACCCGATGGTTCCAAGACTTGGAACAGACCCTGACGATGATGGAACCAAGCAGACTGAAGATACACACCGCAAACATACGTCAAGGCACGCAGCCGCACACACGTCAACACGCAGACCGCACACATCAACACGCAGACCGCACAAGAATAGAATGCTAAGAAATCGTTGCCTATCCATCGCCGGACAGCTGTCTTGCCGACCTGCCAACCGCCCACCGCGACTGTCACTGCCACTGCCACTGCCACTGCCACTGCCACTGCCACTGCCACTGCCACTGCCACCCTACCGCATAATCTCCTGGTAGATCAGCTGCTTCAGCTGCTCCTTGCTCAGCGTGTCCTTGTGCTTGTCAAAGTCGAAAAACTCCTCGGGGATGGGCGGCGCCGTGGGCTCGTCATCCGGGTCGTGGTACGGCTCGAGGTACGGGTGCTTGAGCGCCTCCTCGACCGTGATGCGCTTGACGGGGTTGAAGGCCAGCAGCTTCTCGAGCAGGTCGAGCGCGAGGTCCGACGTCTTGGGGAACAGCGTGCGGAACGGCACCTTCTTCTTGAACGGCAGCGAGCGGATGTACTCGCGCGCGCGGCGCGACTTGATGCCGTAGTAGTCCTCCATCGTCGGCGTGCCGAGCACGTCGAGGATGAGCGTCAGCTGGTGGTGGTCTGTCTGCGTCAGTGGAGGCGGCACACGGCGTCGGGGCAAAAACACCTACAGTCCTTGCCCGGGAACAGGGGCTTGCCGCTGAGCATCTCGGCGAGGATGCAGCCGACGGACCACACGTCGATGGCCTTGGTGTACTCCTTGAACGTCAACATGATCTCGGGCGCGCGGTACCATCGTGTCGCGACGTATTCCGTCATGAAGCCCGAGTTGTCCTCCTGCGACGCCGCCGATCGCGCGAGGCCAAAGTCGCACACTTTCAGGTCGCAGTTGGCGTTGAGGAGCAGGTTCGAGGGCTTGAGATCACGGTGGAGGACGTTGGCCGAGTGCATCGCCTTGAGGGCGCGCAGCGTCTGGTAGATGAAGTACTGGCAGTGGTCATCGGAGAGGTCCTGGGTGCGGATGACGCGGTGCATGTCCGTCTCCATGAGTTCCTGGGCTTGTTAACCGTGCTCGCTTGTCGTTCGGGGCACACATGCTGCTCAGCCTACCTGGATGAGGTACACCTCGTTGAACGTGTCGTAGCCGCGGGGCTTCTGAATGTCGAGGATGGAGATGATGTTCTCGTGGTTGAAGTACCTCAGAAGCTTCATCTCACGCAGGGTCCGCAGACAGAACATGGAGTGGTCGAAAGGAGTGATCTTCTTGATGGCGACCTTCTGGCCCGAAGGCTTGTGTATCGCCGAGCTGGGCGGACCTTGTCAGCGAGGCAGGAGACGCTGGGGAGCGAGACAGGGGACAAGGGGCGTGGGACAGGGAACGCGAGACATACCAGACGACACCGTAGGCGCCCTCTCCAACGACATCCTGAATGTCGTACTGCTCGCTGACGTTGAAGGAGATTTTGCGGGATCCCGAGGGATTAGGGGCGTTGCTGCGCGACATGGTTCTGGTACACGACGAGCTTGCTGGGGGTGATCGTGTGGTGAAGAGGAGGCGCTATGCAGTTCGCCTAGATTATATGGTGTTTAAGAGCCGTCCTGGTCGCTGCTGGTGAGGCTGACAGGCAGATGATGGGACAGCCGTCAAAGGACAAGAGCTGAATTACTCCTGATGTCGAAACAGAAACACAATAGGTGCTTGCTGGTCCTGCTGATGCCGAAACAGAAACACAATAGGTGCTTGCTGGTCCTGCTGATGCCGAAACAGAAACACAATAGGGTGCTTGCAGGTCGAATCCAATCAATGGACTGACATGGAGTAAAGGGGGGGTTAGGAAGGATGCCAATGAAGGAGCAGGAGACGGGAAATGCGGTTTTCGGTGGACCCTGTCAAAGGTGGTCGTTCGGGGAAGCGCAGTCGCAGGCGAAGGGCCGGGTTTGCTGATTCCGCTCGGGCCTTGGGTTGTTGGGTTGAGCTGCGTCTTGTTCTATTCTTCAAAGGAGATGGAGGTGGGGAGGGGGGCTGGCCCGCTGTGGTTGTGGGAGGACGGTCCGCAGATGAGTGTCGTCAACGTCTCGCGTCGGCCATGTACGGTCAGAGCTTTCTTTCCCTTCTTGGGGATGGTTCTTGGCAGCCAGGTCAAGGTGCAAGTCGGGCCAGATCGTGCGACTATGTCGTCAGAAAGGTTGTGCGGATCAGGAGGTCTGCGAAAGGGGCCGGCGGGCGAGGTTAGCTTCAGGGTCCAACAAAGTGGTTGAGGTTCGGGCGGGTATTGGGGCGCTCCAAGCGAGCGACAGAGCAACAGAGCAACCGACAGGTCATTTCGGCCACATCAGCAGGCAGAGCCAGACCGGCAGGGCGCTGTAGAGGGAAATAAGGGAAATAAAGGATCATGGGGGGGACTACGCACGATGCGAACGTTCTGAGCTTGATGCGGAATGTGCAGAGGGGAGAATGGGAAACGTAAGCTTGCTGGGCTGAGAAGGATACTCCGCGACAACGGGCAATGGCGGGGAGGAGGGGGGAGGGGGGGTGCGTGAAACAGGCCAGGCTTTTTGGGGGGGGGGGAAAAAGGAGTTCAAGCCCTCGCTAAAAAAAAAATTTTTTTCCTTCCCCTCAATCCTTAGCCGTTA